AAGAAAGCCCATTTCAGCAGCTTGTATCCGGGTTCGAAGTTTTTCACTGATGGTCCACGATTCATGACCGCCCATGATCCTCTGTATGCCTATTCCTCCAGTCATTTGTTCCCGTGATACTCGTGAATTTCACTTTCGCATGCTTTGATCATTCTTCGTTTCTGCTCGAAAGGAACCTATTCACTCTGAAAACCGACAGACTATTTCAAATTTTCGATTTTACGGATCGCCTCTCTCGCTAGTCAGTTGCCTTTGAGCCTATCACGTTCCGGTTCTTGTGGCACACCTCGCCTGCACATCATACAAACAAGCACCGTAACCCTCACAGTCACGGAGTCTGTCATATTCATATCTATTTTTGACCTCAAAACGTCTGATGCACATATTTCCACTGACTGTGACAGATAATGAGGTAGCTAGGTAGATTTAATCAGTGATCGATCAGGCACTGCAAGAACGATGGTGCTTGACGAGGTCAGCGTCAGCAACTAGGCGGCCGTTCATGGCCTGTAGAAGCCTGTAGAAGTTTACATCGCCACCGTGCGTTCGTGCCTCCTGCGTCAGCGACTACAGCACACGCCATCCATTAACGAAACAGCCACACTCTGCCAGGTGTTCAAACAAATTCGTACGACTGGGGGTGTTTGACATTGCGTGCTGACGAAGGTTCGAGTCAACTGTCAGCGATGCTGTTGAAGGTAGCTATGCTACATTCTCTTCGATAGTCGGATGCTTGATAATGGGAGACTGAAATGTGAAGTTGGTGAGTCTGAAATATAAGATCGCCTTTGTCGGCAAATCTGCTTCCGTGCTTCCCTCATTTTAGGGAGGTTCTTGAGGAAGAGGAGAAAAAACTGGCGGGCAGAATTATCGCGCCTTTTAAATTTACTTATTGATACACATCCGAAGAATAAAGCAATGGTCATGTATGGTAGATAAATCGGTAATTGTATTAATCGTGGTACATTACTGTTCATGCCTTTCATTTTATACATGTACTTGTTTTGTCATGGCTAGTCACCACTCAATAATGGTTAGTATAGAGCACTGATTCATGTATATGCCTAATGAGCAGCGGAAGATAATTTATCATAAAAACAAGAAAAGTGGCGAAGCAGAGAAGAGGGGACAATCGAACAGTGTCAGACAAAACAGCTATATGGATTAGGAACGTCTGTAATATTCCTAACTCCTTTCAGAGACCGGAAGTCATAAGATTAAAGCCGCTGATATAAGACCCTCCACAACACAAGCGGGTACTTTTTGATACACCCTGTTCCCACAAACTTTACTGATTCAAATTATCGATGGGAATGACGCAAGCCTTTTAAAATGCTCTTCGAAATATCAAAGACCGTAGGCGATGATCATCGAGCGAACGCAACAAGCAATCGTGCCAACGAAGTTGGAGCCGCAACTGCGAGTGACCGTAAAACAAGTATCTGCTTGATCAGCACCTGCTTGTTTGCTTTCAGTTGGCATTCGACAGACTACTGAGCGAAAGTCAAGCTGTTTGACTTTTGAGGTTGAGGTGCAAAGGCTGAAGCGAAACCTCGTCTAGTGTGCAAATATGTTCTGATGCAGTTTCATATGCATAACGATTTTTTCTTCCTCAATATCACGACTCTCGGCGATAATCGACTTTGTCATATGACTCTTTTTGTTGGTGGTGGCTTCGTACCATGCAATTTGTACAGCTGCTCGGTAAGCCGTTCGTTCGCTTCGCTCTGTTCTGATCAAAAAACCTAACAGAACCCGTCCGAGCCTCTGCGGCCTAGCGAAACGTTCAGGTGAAGTTGAGTAAAGTCCTCCTTCGAGTCATTGCGCTCAAGAAATCCAGCATAAGCCATAGCCGATATGCCGGCGAATTTCGACTGTCCCGTTTCTTGCAACTCAACAACAGAC